GGGCAGTTCTGTTTGTGACGATATGTATATATATATTTGTCACAGCCCCTCGTTTGTTGTCCTCTTCTCCCTCTCTGCCTACGGTTTACCGGGCAGTTCTATTTGACGATATATATAATATATTCTGTTTGTGACGATATATATATATCGTCACATAACTATGAACTAAAAGAGCGCAATTTGCGAAACAAACGGCAAAAAGGAAAAATTAAAAAACAAGACAAACATGAAGGGCACAGTGAAACCATTCATTTTTCTCATTCTTCTTTTGACTCCCCTTTCACCGTGCCTCTAAGGTACAAGGTTCGCCACGTTGATGAAGGGGGCCAGAGGAATGATCTTCGACATAAAAGAGATTGCGGACGGTTTGTTGTGGCAAGAAAACAGCATCATTTTGTAAGAAATTGGTGACATCAATCATGGCATGGACCATGGTGCCGTTGTCCCACAGCTCCCAGTGGTCAGAGGCATGTACAATGGTCATGTAATGGCCAGGGCCGTGCACAATGCAGGCAGAGATGTGGGATGGAGGATTAAACCACTCACCTGCTCGAGCATTGCGTAGTTCAAGTTSACGGTCCCTCATTGCTACTTGTAGGACAGCAATGGTAAAGCCTCCTTCGCTGGTATAATTACAATCCTCTGGCTGTCGTTGGGGAAGATCAGCATCAAGTTGAAGGGCGATTGCAAGGAAGCCTGATGGTGTATAAAAAGGGCGGTGGAGAATGTGAAGACAGATATTAGTTGCTGCCAGACCACAGAGATTGTTGAGGTTCTCAGGCTGGTTTGTTGGATGTTGGCCAACAATTTGCAGATCACCCAGATGTCATTGCAACCTCAAACTGTGTTGGGTTGTTTGCTGGTAAGTCATTTGCAGATCACCCATGTGGTCTGCGCGCGGCGGAGCGCAAAATTGTGGTTCATCCGAACAATGCTGGTCAGCCATTTGCAGATCTCCCATGTGGTCTACGCCTTGCGGGGTCAACTGCAATCCTGGCAGATCATGTTCCAATCCCTCAACGTTTAGGGCTGCATCCTGAGTAGGGAGTGTACCTGGAGTCGGGACTGGTGGCTGCCTACAGGCAGCTGGACTGTCTACAGGAGGCATAGGAGCGGATATTGCCGTTTGAAACAAAGGAACCGCAACAACCTGTGGAGGCGGCACGGAGAGAATCGAGGCAGACAAAGAAACAGGTTGCTGATCCCCGAACAAGTGACGATGCCGCGGATTTCGTCGGTGATACACAACGAGAGGAGTAGTGGTGTTGCAAACAGAAGGTGAACTTGCACCTAGCAACGAAGGTGGAATAATGGGAACAATGGAAACTGGAGAGTCTGTTCGCAAGCGAGAACGTGGAGGAGACGAGGGTGGTGAGGAGGAACGCAGTCGTCTACGGCCAAGCACAGACAAAGATGAGAGGGGGGGTGCGTTGGGCAAGATTTCGAAGCAAAGGACATGAGCGTCGGAGAGATTATGATGTTCTTTGCATTGGAGCTGCAGGACAGGAAGCTGTAGCGGTAAAAACTAAAGTAGGGGGAAGTACAGTTAGGGAAACTGTTGTACTGAAAACTGCAGTAGTGGAAACCGCAGCAGTAGAAACTGCAGCAGCGGAAACTGGAGCAGTGGAAACTGGAGCAGTGGAAACTGGAGCAATGGAAACTGCAGCAGTTAACACTGCAGCAGCGGAAACCGCAACAGTGGACACTGCAGCAGTGGAAACTGGAGTAGTGGAAACTGCAGCAGTGGAAACCGCAACAGTGGACACTGCAGCAGTGGACACTGCAGGAGTGGAGACTGCAGCAGTGGAAACTGCAAGAGTGGAGACTGCAGCAGTGGAAACTGCGGTAGCAGCAGATGAGCAAGCAGGGGCAGGACGAGAGCATCGTGGGGGAGAAAAAGAAATTGGATGATACAAGGACCATCGCAGCATGCGTCGGAACCACTGAGAGAGACGCGTCACATGCGTAGGATAGCGACGTTGGCGGGAGTGCATGTAGCAGGTCCAGCCCTTAGCAAGGGTTGGTGGGGAATGCCCACGCGAAAGCATATGACGAGTAAGTGTTGTTGCCGCAGTTCGAAAGTCCTGCCAATTGTTACAAATTTGTTTAAATCTGGTCAATCACCCAGTGAACACACCAGCCGGTTGATGGGAAGGGATGTTGGAGGTCGCACTTGGATAACTAATGACAGGGAAGTCCCAAGCAGCCGCTTTATCAAAGACGCTCATGCGAAGCGAGCCATCGGAACCGACCCGTAGATGCATACCTAAAAAGGTACAGGAGCCATCTGTAGCTGTAGTCTCCTTCCGCTCAAGCCCATAGTGCTCTGGTGGAGGAGGTCATTGTCCCCATGAAAGAACATCATCAATGAGGCGATAGGTGAAGGCATATTGTTGAGCAGCTTGAACATCATGTTGACGAAGGTCATCGACAAAGCGTGCTTCATCCCAATACAGCGTCAGATTAGAATTTTTTGGGCCAGCATTCGTTCCCAATACAGCGTCAGATTAGAAATTTATGGGCCAGCATTCGTTCTCATTGGAATACCGATAATTTGTTTCCTAGTGTGCCATCTTTCGTGTATAGAAAAGCGTTTTGTACAACAAAGCGAAGATGCTGGAGAATCTGAGAAACAGAAAGGGTTTTCGGGCCTGAATCAGTTGTCCATTGGCCACAACGAGGTCCTCGAATAACCATGTTGAGGGCAACGCAGCGTGAATGCGTGCGAGCTTGTCGAAGGGCATAAGCATGAGCTTCATCAACAACTTTTGCCACATTATTCAGAATGCGGTCATGAGGAAGGTTGGTGTACATTGTGGTCAAATCAACAGTGCGAGGAGAGCGGCCACGAAGAGATGATGCATTGCTTTTCAAGTCAATCGCCACTTATATATATATAATGCAGACTGTTGAGGGTTCAGCCTCCTGATGAGTCGGTGAAACTTCGACGAAACAGTTTGTCACAGCCCCTCGTTTGTTGTCCTCTTCTCTCTCTCTGCCTACGGTTTACCGGGCAGTTCTATTTGTGACGATATATACTACGAC